GAGGGTAACTCTGCAATTTCCAACAGTAGAACCATCTACTGCAAGAATTTCAATGGGATAGTTGTCCCATCTTGACGATAACTTGCCACCCCGAAAAAGTGGCCTGTCCTGCACTGACATCCGCTCTTCAACAGCAACCTAAGGGCAGAATTCCAGCCTGGTAACCTAGAACCTTGATGAAGTCGGTGATTTAAGGGGGGTTCTTCCAGTTCCATGTTTGGAAAATATCTATATCTTTTGGTTAAAAGGTTGTTCCAACCCCACTGCAGGAGCTTTTTTATAGATTCAAACGCATGGTATATTATGGTATGTTGGGCGCCCAAGGCGCCATCAATATCCATCAATCTCAGCTTCGCGCTTAGTTGTTTAGGAACCCAACATCTAACCGGTACACAGGGACCAATTCTTGAAAACTGCCACAGTATCTGATTGGTGGTATACCTACCCCTCTGAAAAATATGCTCGTCAGTTGGGATGATGAAATTTCCAATATGGAAAAGTAAAACATGTTCCAGACCACCAACCAGTTATTTTTGGCCACCAATACCACGTTCTACCGACAGTTGCAGATCTTGCAGCTGGATTGCGACCGAGGAACAACATCACCAGAAAGATGGCAGAGACCAAAATGACCTGAGGTTCCGATCGCAGGAATCTTTCGTCTAAGGAGATATTTACCTGTGGGATCATCAAGGCTTACTTGTGAAAGTCTAATTTTGGAGAAATTTTGTGAAAATTTTGTTGGGTTCATGTTGGGTATTCAGGTGATAGCCATTGAGCCATTGAGCCATTGAAGGGAAAACATGTCCCAGAACTGCCAGCGCTCAACGACTTGGCCCGGAGCCATTACCCTACTGACGGCTAACCACTCCACAAAACATCTTTCTTTTCTCATCATGACCACGCCTTAATTAGTATTGAGGGGATTATACCCAAAAAAAACCTGTTCATGACTAGGTTGGTACCAATTGTAATGGCAATTTATCATTCTTTTGGGGTTACCCTACCAGCCACAGCTACATCTCGTCAAGTGACGCTGCAGAGAACCACGATCAGAAAAACCTTGGACGGACCATTGCGGGCGCAGTGAGCATTTCAAGGCATACTGGGCTACATGACTATCTGGTTGGTGGTTGGGCCCTACCCCTCTGAAAAATATGAGTCAGTTGGGATGATGAAATTCCCAATATATGGAAAAAAAGTGTTCCAAACCACCGACCAGCTATATGTACCTCTCTGAAATCAAGGATTTCCCATTGCCATGCTTGCCATGCTTGCCATGCTTGCCATGTTTGTGCACGGGGGTAGTTCTTTTTTTCTGTTTTTCCCCACCTGCCAGGTGAGGGTTGTTAGATTTTATGTCAGTTGCCTCCTCCTCCTTCTCCTCCTCCTCCTCCGCCTCCTCCTGCCTCGTCCTCCTCTCCTCCTCCTCCTCCTCGTCCTCCTCGTCCTCCTCGTCGTCCTCGTCGTCCTCGTCGTCCTTGCTCAACTGTGACCCGCGATCCACAGTGTTCTCTGCCGGACCTCAACCACGACCATCCACGCCCAGTGTTCCCTGCCGGACCTCAACCACGACCATCCACGCCCGATGTTCCCTGCCGGACCTCAACCACGACCATCCTCGCCCAGTGTTCCCTGCCGGACCTCAACCACGACCATCCACGCCCAGTGTTCCCTGCCGGACCTCAACCGCGAGTATATCCACGCCAAGTGTTCCCTGCCGGACCTCATGTAGGAAGATATGGGACAAAGAATGTGCAGAAGAAAGTTAGAAAGAATGTCAGAAAGAATGTCAGAAGATATGCCAGAAGATATGCCAGAAGATATGCCAGATAGAATGCCAGATAATATGCCAGAAGATATGCCAGATAGAATGCCAGATAGAATGGCAGAAGATTTGCCAGATAGAATGCCAGAAAATATGCCAGAAGATATGCCAGATAGATATGTCAGAAGATATGCCAGAAGATATGCCAGAAGATATGCCAGAAGATATGTCAGAATATATGCCAGAAGATATGTCAGATAGAATGCCAGAAGATACGTCAGAATATATGCCAGAAGATATGCCAGATAGAATGCCAGATTGAATGCCAGAAGATATGTCAGATAGAGTGCCAGAAGATATGCCAGATAGAATGCCAGAAGATTTGCCAGATAGAATGCCAGAAGATATGACAGAAGATATGCCAGATCATATGCCAGAAGATATGCCAGATAGAATGTCAAATAGAATGTCAGAAGATATGTCAGATAGAATGCCAGAAGATTTGCCAGTAAGAAAATGTATAAATGTCATGGTGGGGATCACACGAAGTAAAGTAATTTTGAGGTTTGGAACCATCCATTCTCTGGTTGGTTTCAAAAAGGGATGCTGTAATGGTTCAAGGTTTTTTGCTGCTGAGAACTTGGTGTTTGAGATAAAATCTCCATGTCCCTTGCGTAAAAGCATCATTTGTATCCATGTTTAGGAGAACGACCCAGAAAAAAATAGAAAAGTAAAATCGCAGTGATGAATCGTTTTTCTATCTCTTCTTTGGGGTACCACAAATCGCAGTTGTTGCAATAGACCAAGTCCCGGATTTCCACATGACCCACATCGCCAGGGAACCTCTGTCATTACCTCTCCATGAATGTTCAGCGAGTCCTGCAGAGTGAAGGGATACGGTGTCATCATCACACGTGGCTTGTTGGAAAATCCACTATAAAAGGAGGCTTTTTTCTGGGAACATCATCTATAAATGGTGGATGTTCCTATTTAAAGCCTCCATTTATAGTTAATTTTCCCAGCTAGAAACCTGCGTTTATGTCCTGGATGTTCCAGCGGATTTTCCAGCTAGCCAGGTTTGATGACCGGAGGATACGTATTAGCTATCGAAAATGGATGACAATGGACAATGGCCCATTCAGTTTTTTTTGATATATATATATATATATCTGTATACCTATTGGAAATGGTGATTGACAATAGCCATCTGAAATTACAAAAGGGCATATATATATATATATATATAGCAGTGACACAAAAAAAAATCGTGAAAGGAATATCATTGCCATTTTGTGAAGGAACATCTCAACAAGTACAAAATGCATGCAATTTCATTGACTTTTCAATATCGTTAAGCATATTTTCAATTTTGAATGAACATACAGGAGAATTGAAACATCTTCAAACATAGATCTATAGGGGCACCCAACTTTATCCCATGATCATTAAAATTTGTGTTTGGCTCTATGTTGACTGCATGGCGGTCAAAAAAAACAAGGTGGTTACCAATAACATGATTGAAATCCAACACAAATCACGGTAAGATAAAACATATATAGTTAAAACCAACCACCATTCATGAAGCATATCATATCCCCATCAACTTCCCTGGGGGTCCCACCAAAAAAAAAACAAACACCCAATCACAAGACAAATGAAGAATTGGTGATGGGTGATGATGGGTGATGATTAGAATGATTGGAAAACCAGTGATTATTGGTGATGATGCATGATGAACCCATCACCAATGAAGAATCAGATCTCCTCAGAATCCCGTAACGATTACTCTCCGGTACTCAAACGTGGCAATTTAAAATCCTCCATTTAGTTCGATGAATTTCCTATAAAAACTTCCATTTAGTTCGATGGTTTTCCATTGCCACATTTGATGAAACCGGAGGATATATCCATTAATATCTCATTATGATTCCATGAGTCCATGATTATTTAATTACTATACCTATTAAACCCTATTAAAAGCCATATTATTCGAATCGTTTCCCATCCGCCAAGTTTTGCCAAGTTTTCCAACGTCCCACCGGTCCCACTCTAAAAATCGTTCGGTTTTCAGGCCCTTGTTGACTGCCTGGGCTCATCTGGACGGTGCTGCCGGGATGAAGCAACATCTGAATATATATATATATATATGTGTGTGTGTGTAATATATTGTAATATATGTGTATATTTATATATTTTATATTATATATAAATGTGCGTGCGTGAAGATGAATGTACATATATGTGTACATCCATGTATGCACATGTATGTGTAGCTTTGCCGGTATATACAACTCTTTGTTATGCACAGTGCTCTCAAACTTGGTAGAGGATCATATTCTGCGGTTTCTATGGCAACTTCAAATCATTGAAGGGCTGAGGCTAAGGGTGCAGATATGGGACCCACGATAAAAAAACCCTCAGAATATGGGTTGAATCCAGTACTATCCACGAACTCATGGAATTTTTTATGGTTCATTTCATGTAAATTCCATTGTCCATGAAGTTCCCTGGGCTGCAATGCGAGCCTCAGAGCATCTCAGCCATATCCGGGATAATGTTTAAGATATATTAAAATTCAACACATTTCTGCTACAATTGGCGCCGGTCTCTTATTTGTTTCCGCATTTTATGTTAAATGCGACCCATGCATATGAGACTTCTCAAGTCAAGGGAATAAAATCCACGTGTTAGTTCCAACAGGCATTCCCAAAGCAGCAACATGTTTAGAGACCACAGGCCACAACTTTGAACTCCGGAGTTCGTCAACCGGCTCCAGTGGCTCCAACACTGAAAAGGGCGGTTCAGTTAGTTCAGTTCCCCCGGGTTAAGACTATGCCTGCCGCAAAAGCCGTCGTACTACTAGATGGAATCTATTCATTTTGGGGCTCCTTGGGAAACGAAACTTCATATGCTGTCAAAAAATGGGCTACCCCTGAACTCCAATGCCTTGTCAATATTTCCCTGTGATATAAATCTCCACTTTTCGGGGAAGAACCCAGGGTAGTTCCATGTGTTGCCACTTAAATCACTTGGGTCCCCATTAAAATTGACATCATATCATCTTTGAATCCCCCACTTTATCATCATTTCACCTGGCGAAGCCCCACATGTTTCCTCTATGATTTTCCTGTGATTTTCCTATGGTTTTCCTATGGTTTTCCTAAAGTTTTTCTATGATTTCCTGAGGTTTTTGTCTGGTTTCCTATGGTTTCACCATATGCGTCCTTCCAACCTACCTTCCCCATGCCACCAGAGGTGCTTTGTAAAGGTCGGCCCAGAACTGCGTGGGATCCTCGTAGAAGGACTGGTTCCAGGCCCAAATCTGCAGCATTTTGTGGCATGTTTGTTGGTGAAAACCCCTCATTCATCACCATTTTGCACAGCAAAACAATACCTGGGACCTGGTTGGTGGTGCAATAACCATCTTGAAAAATATGAGTTCGTCAGTTGGGAAGGATGACATCCCATATATTATGGAAAATTAAAAATGTTTGAAACCACCAACCAGTAATTTGTTGCTATTGAAACTCACCATGTTTTCATAGAATCAACTATGAATGGCCATGTTCAATGGCAAACTGTTATATAGTTTACTAGAGGGTAACCAAAAACCATCGATTTACAAATATGTGGAAAGATATTTGGGGATGGATTTGCTATGAAAACAATGCCAAATATGATGAAATATAATGAAATATGCCTGTTCCGGCTGACATATTATTTGATGCACAGAGGGCAAATGCGTGGTGTGAATTCGAATGAGATCAGATGAGTAGTTGCCAAAACCTCTATTGATTCATGGTGCTCCCTTCATGGTTCACCACAGGACTGGTCGGGAACAGGGGATCATATCATATGTTTTGTCAAAAAGGCGGCGCGACAAAGAAAATAGTGAAGCTGTGTTGCCTGTATATCCGTGTCCTACCTTCTAAAACGAATGTATGATGGAAATATCGTGAATTATTGTATCCCTACAAATTTTATGGTGTTGCTTCATTGCTGTATTTCCCGGATAATGAAGAAAACTAAACATACTATGAACATGTACTGTATCTATTTCGATCTCCTGGTTGGGCAAAAACAAATGGAACCAAGCCCTTAATTACTGCAAATGACAAGGGAATGTTTTTTTATGTTTTTCTGGAAATTGGTATTTCCTGGCCAGCCATGTGGCCAGCCATGTTGACTCTCCGGAAAGCAAACCCCAGTTTCCCGGAGTTACATGCGAATTGTGTTGGTGAAATCCTGAATCTGTGTCAGCTAAAATCGGAATGTGTGTCATCAAAATCCATGTGTTGCTAAAATCCATATGTTTATCGCTTAAATCTCCATGTGCAAAGTTTAAATCCATATTTTAAATGCTGCATCTTGCATCCGTTTTTTCTTGGCTAAATCCAATGTGTTGGCCGTAAAATCTCCAATTTTTGGTGGGAAGTTCCGAATAGTTCCGACATGTTGACGAATTGCATTCCTATTTTTGCCGGGCCAAATCCCAAAAACGTCCCCCGAACCTCAGGCAGCTTTGCCAGGCCAATAGGTACATTGGCCTCGAAGAAGTCCGAGCGATTTGAAGCGGGGATCATCCCTGAAAATGGTTAGTATGCCCGGTTAGTCCCCGATTCTTACCCATCTGGATAGTGCTGGATACTGCTGGTTGAAGGGAAAACCGTACCCTGAAACCTTGGTTTTTCCGATGTTTCTCCCGGTGAAGTTGTGCGCGTGTTTTTACCAACAACTATTAGAATCGTTCATGTTTTTTTTGTTGGTTTTACCAACAGAAAAAATGTGATTTGACCAACATACATGTTGATTTAATCAACAACAAAAGATGTAATTGAAGGAACGATGTTATGAAAATACAGTATTACAGTTCGCTATTTGTTTTTGTCTTTTCAGCGGTTATATAATATTAATATATATGTGCGTGTGGCTATATGTGCGTGTGTGTGTGAATATGAGAGCTGCTACCCCAACAATACAAACGACAACGAGTGAGGGATACAACTTAGGAATATCATCAAGAATTCTGGAGACGAAACAAACCTTAAGCAAGACAAATAAAAGGATACAAAAAACACCGGGAATGTCATCATGAAATATCAAGAATCATGGAGGTGACATTTCCTAACATACCAACCGTTACCAAAGTCAAGGAAGCAAACAATACGGAAGTGGAAGAACCTCAACAATTTAGAAGATAGAAGCAACAACATCATGGAGATAACATGATAGAACCAACAAGATCCAAGTAGGAACAGGCATCAACAACAACTGATGATGTCACCAAGAAAAACTGATAGCTGCGATCATCCATCCTATCTCCAAAACAACCATGGGCCATAGGATTGGGGCACACGATGTTTAATTAAGACAAACCCAACTTGGATAGAGTTGCTTAGATATCCCATTGGAACATAATATGCCCTCATTAATATCCCATTAAGCCTTTAGTTCTTCATGGTTAAGTCCCCATATCAACCTGCAAACATCCAACGTTATCCACATCATCCCGTTTTATATCCCATTTAACCACCATTCAATCACATTTAAACACATCTGTTATCAATGTTTAGTGTTTAAATCATTAACCTAACTGAAAAATCACATCTGATATATGATTAATGTTTAGTAAATTACATCACATCTGTTATATCATTCAGTCCTCATTTAAAAATCACAATTTCATCTACTCAGCTTCCAGTTCCCCAGTGCTCCAACTCCGCATCTCCCCCGGGCGCCTTAATGCCAAGGAAGATCTGCGTATCTCGGGCCACGCAGTCTGTAGTGATCACAAAGGACAACTGGCGCAATTTCGGCAGATTTAGGCGGATTTTTGATAAATCTGGGGAAAAACCATGGGTTCCAGATAAATGTTCATGATTTATTCTAATTGATCCAGATGTTCTTGGAGAATTTTTGCAAAGAAGGATGATCATCACCGTGATTGGGGGTACTAATCTTCTATCTGCTTCGATCTACTTGATGACTGTATACCATACTATCTTGGTAAAGTAGAGGGTTTCTGGATAATTCACTGGCCGGTTTCTTGGATTGATGAGTGGACAAAAATCTTCGTTTATGGAAGATATATGAACTAGTTCTATGGGCTATATAGACCAACCAACATAACTGGCCGAATTGACTATGCAATTCACAAATTAAAAAGTTCGTCCATTTGGGGTAGTTGACCTTTTCAACATGCAACCAACATCGACAGTGACTTCGCAGTGAGACAATGCTTGGCATTGTAGGGATTTGGGGCCTAGCTTTCAATGCCAACAAAAAACAATAAAATTAAAGGACCGGATTCCGACCGGATAACCACACAAGTCAACTTCTTCCAATAATTAGAAACAAAAGTTGAAGCGGGACGGGGAAGGAAGGAAAGACAAAGGAGGTGGTGGGGGATCGATAAGTTTAAAAACAGTTGTATGTGGAAGAGTTGTGTGTGTGTGTGTTAGAACGGTGTGATCTATGACGGTGAAACAGTTGTGTGTGCAAGGGTTGTGTGTGTGTGGAAGTTGTGAAATAGTTGTGTATGGGTGTGAACGAGTTGTGAGTGAAGTTGCGTGTAAAAGAGTTGTGTGTGTGTGTGTAAGAGTTGCGTGTGCCAAAGTTGTGCGTGAGAAAGCCGGCCTCCCAAGCGATGCGGTGGAGAGCAGGGCGGGGCGTTCGACAGTCGCAAGGACGTGAACTGACTGGCCAGTGCCTCGGTGTGTGCCCAGCAAGGCTCATTAGCCCATAGCCCTTGCTGTCATACCCGGTGGGAAACCGAGCGTTGGCCCCAAGCACACACAACCGCATCATCCCGCACCCCCGGCCAACGAGGTGACAGATGACATCACGTCGGTCTGCTTGATACAGGAGCACGCAGCAAAACATGATACGAACCAGAATTGACACAACAGGCACATGCGATTGCAGCAGGTCGTGTGATTTGAGAGCCTCCCGCTGGACGTTGCCAAAGTGCCACGCCTGCCACGCAAAGTGCCGCGGCGCCAGCGACTAACGGCGCCCAAGCGTGCCACCAGATCCAACCATATCCAACCCAGGATGTCGCCAAGTGCCACGCCTGTGACAAAGTTGTATAAAGATGGTGTGCGTGACAAAGATGGTGTGTGACAAAGCTGTATGTGAAAGATGGTGTGTGTGTGTATATGACAAAAACGGTGTGTGATAAAGTTGTATGTGACTAAAGTTGTATGTGAAAGATGGTGTGTGACAAAGTAGTGTGTGTGCGACAAAGTTGTGTGTGAAAGATGGTGTGTGACAAAGTTGTGTGTGACAAAGCTGTATGTGAAAGATGGCGTGTGACAAAGTTGTATGTGAAAGATGGTGTGAGACACAGCTGTGTGTGAAAGATAGTGTGTGACAAAGTTGTGTGTGTGACAAAGTTGTATGTGAAAGATGGTGTGTGACACAGTTGTGTGTGAAAGATGGTGTGTGACAAAGTGGTGTGTGACAAAGCTGTGCGGAGGAGGTGGCGGAGGAGGCGGAGGAGGAGGAGGAGGAGGACGGGAGGAGGAGCGGACGGGATACCTGAACAAAAACCAGATCCCCATAAAAAGATGCGGGGAACAATAAGGTGAAAAGTTGGAGACAGCTGGTCCCAAGTCTGGTTGGGCTCACGAAAAAGTCTCTTCACCTGCTGAATGCAAGTGATGTTTGGTTGTTGTTTTAAACTAAGGGTTCTGTGAACTCATGATGACGTCTCTGAGGCGCAAAATTTGAAGATCGCATCCATACAATGGCAATTACGGCGAGGGCTTCCTGATTGATGTTTCTAATCACGTTCAAAATCGTCTAACAGCAACAAAGGGGCAAAGGGAATCCTGATGAACCCATGTCATTCTTTGGTTGCGATCGTTCGCCTGTAGTTGCCACCATCATCAGTATACACTGGTCACCAGTTGTTTGGATTGCACAAGCCTAACCATGTCGATCCAAACAAGACGATAATTATTCAGTACTGTATGGCAACCCCTCCAAAGTGATTGAAAAAATGAGCACCTGGAAATTACTGTATATGGTAAATTTCATCTATGAAATCCTGGATGTTTTTGCCTCTGTGTCTGGGCAGCTACAACAAATCCCCTGGTCCCTTGTTTAGATTCCGACATCCCATCACTTGTGCAATAGATAGATGGAAAAAACTGCAGCCGCCAGCCATGTTCGCCAGCGGATAAAACGTGACGTCATTCCATGCTATGTCCATCCGGTTGCTCCCGGCCCATCCCGGCGACGCGCCGTGACCACTGCGTCGGCCAGGCCAACTCGTCCCATAGCGCTGTTGATCACGGTGTCTGGCCGGAAACATGGTGACATGGAAAGGATGTTTACCCAAAAATAACCCACCGTGGCTAGAACAATCTCCTACACTTGAAGTGCCATCATCTATAAAAGAAGGGGTTTTCCATTGCCACGTTTGATTGCCAGATGGCAATGGTGATGTATTGGCTGTATTGGTGGTTGATCTAATTTGTTGAAGCGGGATACAAGGGGATATTCATTGGCCTGTTAAATTGGCACGTCTCAATTGAACATGGTGGTTTTATTGGAAATACAATGAGATACCCAACTATAACTACATCCAATTTGGGTCTCAACATTTGGGATTTACCAACAAACATTTGGGATTTACCAACAAAATGATGTGCAAACACATGCTATGGGTTTTATCATGGATAAGAGATAGATGCCAAGAATATGATAGATGGGCCTGTAGCAATTGCAAGATTTGGGTAGGTAGCATGTTCATTTCTTGCTTTTCAACCGAAAACAGTGTCAACAGCCAACACCGGGATTTGGATGGATTCGGATGGTATTAAAACACAGCTCTTGGTGATTCAAGTGGGAAATGCTTACTTCAGATTTTTAGTATAAACTGATTATGCTGTAATATATAAATACACACGCATATGTACATTTATATATATATATACACAACAATATGATAAGTGTGGCTGTCTGAAAATTGGCCATGCCACCATTTGATGGCATGTTCACGGGGAATGCTGATTCACTAGTGAATTTTTGAGTATCATATTTTCAGACAAACCCAGTTAAGAATATTTGAGATGAGTTCTTTTGAGTACCTCCTCCCACTACCGTAAGCATTGACGGGCCAAAACCCTGGCGCCCCGTTGTGTTCACGTTGCAAACTAGGACGCACTCGACCAAATGGGATACTAAAGAATACCAACTTACCAAGCTGCCACTTTGTGGATGTGTTTTTTCCAGAGTGGGGAAAACCGCGCCAGTAGTCGTGCACGTTTTTGAAAACACACATTTTTGACCGGGCTGCTGGGGAGGTGTTAACGTTCATGTTAAGTTGCGTCACATGCACATGCTACGTCACGTCACTGGGTGGGGGGGTGGTGTTAACGTTCATGTAAACTTGCGTCACATACACATGCTACGTCACGTCACTGGGTTGGGGGGTGTTAACATTCATGTAAACTTGCGTCACATCCACATGCTACGTCAGGTCTCTGGGTTGGTGGGGTGTTAACGTTCATGTAAACTTGCGTCACATCCACATGCTACGTCAGGTCGCTGGGTTGGGGAGGGTGCTAACGTTCATGTTAACTTGCGTCGCATCCACATGCTACGTCACGTCACTGGGTTGGGGGTGTGTTTACGTTCATGTATACAATGTAAACTTGTGTCACATGCACATGCTACGTGTTGGGGAGGGTCTTAGCGTTCATGTTAACTTGCGTCTCATGCACATGCTACGTCACGTGACTGGGTTGGTGGGGTGTTAATGTTCATGTTAACTTGCGTCACATGCACATGCTACGTCACGTCACTGGGTTGGGGGGTGTTTACGTTCATGTATACAATCTAAACTTGTGTCACATGCACATGCTACGTGTTGGGGAGGGTCTTAACGTTCATGTTAACTTGCATCTCATGCACATGCTACGTCACGTCACTGGGTTGGGGGGTGTTAACTTCATGTCTTGGGTTTCCCCTTGCTGGCATCAGAAATGTAGGATGGGCACAGAAGTAGAAACATATATAAAACAGATGTTGGTATATATGTAAAACAGATTCACAGATGTTGATACATTTGTAAAACTGTCGACCCTGAGCTTCATGTTGTCAATTGTTCTTCACTTTGTTGTATGTCTCTTCTTCATTTAGCCTCAAGGGTTCCTGCAACATCTTCTGGCAGTTCCTTGGCCAAAAAAAACATGTTGATCACCGATGGGGCATCATGCTATCCATCTTTAAGTCACAAGTTTGGTTGGCGCCATGAAGCTTGCAACCACTCTAAAGGGGTGTTTTGTATAAAGAAACGAATTAGAAAAAAACATGTTCTGATTCACACAGGTGGGGTCGATGCGATGTGGCGACTGTCAAAGTCGGCCATACCATGTAGTCTCTCGACCAGAACCAACCGCCATGTGAACCCAAAATTGATGCGAAGCATCAGGGTGTGGCAATGGCGTTGGATGAACTCCAAAACCAAAAGCCTTTTGGAGGTCACCGGTCGTTCCTTGATGAAGCGCATGGCGATGTGAGAGGGAAAAACATCGCGCACCTTTTCAAGAACAAATTCCCTTTTTTTTGCAGGACATCATAGGACATCATCAAAAGCACTTCACAAATTCCCAGGGAAATTTAAGCCTATTTTGGGGAATGAATCAGTAGTTTCGCTATGGCGAAAACGACATTTTTTCAAAATGTTCAAAACACTGGCGCGGTTTTCCCCCCGACGGGATGTTTTTGCCCATCTAACTTTTCTGTATGCAAATGTTGATCGGCATTGGCATCTGCTCAAGACCATGTTTGATCATTCATAATACCCCAAAGCCAGCATGGAACCCCAATAGTTCCAGTGAAAAAGTGTTCCCAGTGGAAACCAATATTTGGTGTTTCCTCATTTGTTGATGTTCTCGGGGTGTAACCTACATCTGGCCCTGAAAAGTGGGACGCGCACTCCAAGTGAAAACAGAAGGTTGGAAATCTACGATCCCAATGGAAACACGTGACTACTGCAACACTCCCACAAGGTTTAGTAGCACAAGTGCAAAAATTGGTATGTATATATATATATATATTTATTTATATTATTGTTTTTGATATTATATTATTTTATATTTTATCCAATTATAATATAATATTATATTTGTTATATCATATTTTATTATATTATATTTTATTATATTATATGTTATTATATTTTTTATGTTATTATTTTATTTTTTATTTTTTTATATTAGTTTACATTTTATTTTATCTTATTGTTTTTGGTATATTATATTATATTATATTATATCATATGATATTATATTAAATTATATTAAATTATATTATATTATATGATATGATATGATATTATATTATATTATATGTAGTCCGAGAATTATCCCATGTTTCCATGTATTTCCCATGCTCCGCTTTCCAAACCAGTCGCTAATGGCAGGTAGAACCAGGTTGTTCCAGTGTTGCAGCACGTTGTAATCGATGAACATCCTGGGCTCAGACGGCGTCAACAATGATCTTCCCAGAGGCATGGAGTAGAAGCAGTGACATTTTAAAAGGTGGTCAGAATTACCCTCCGGCAAATTAACATAGCTATTGAAAATTGCCATAGTAAGAGTGGATTTTCCCATTAAAAATGGTGATTTTCCAGTTCGCTATGTTAGTTTACCCGAGGGTATCCAAAACCTGGTCATGTTAGCCCCTCAGACTTTTCAATAAACCCCGGTTGGTTCAATCCTAGCGACTCGCCCACGGTTTGAGGCTCCAAATGGATGGGTTGACTCAAATCGATTGTGGCAAAGACCTGGCCAGGCATCGATCGCTGGGTCTGTTGCGGCTGTTCTAGCATCATTGGTAGACCGGCTGGTAAATATCTAAGCAGTTAACTGCCAGCTGGTAGAGCCAAAACCTGTTTTTAATAAACAGGAAACCAAGGTACAAATAATTAGTAAAGCTATGCTTTGCAAATAATTGGGCCAGTATATAATTTGAATTTGTAACCTCTAACCACCAAGAACCACGAAGAATCACATGGGCACTGCATAGTGGCTGACCCCTTTGCCTCCTGGTGTCATCTCCGAAATTGATTCCTACATGTCAGTACTTTTACCAAGAATCACCGACCTGGAGATCATTGAGATCATCAACCACCATCGGCAAGCGTTTTTAGTCCAAAAACAGATCCAACAGAATGCGACTCTGCAGCACCGGCAATACTCAAAGAAATGTTGCAAACATGTGTCAAAAACATGGAATCCGCAGCCACCCATCGCCGACCTGGTTACTGAAGACGCAATCCACGCCAAAGCTTCGCAGTTCAAAGACGCCATCTGAAGTTCAAAGGCCCCCGAGCGAATGGAAAAACCAAAAACTGGAGAAAAAAAACGCCAAATCAAACGTAGATATTCTTAATACTGGATGATGATGGCTTATATAATCAGGTTCTGAAATGTGGGCTGAAAAATATTTATGATATTCTTTGAAAGTTCCAACCATTTTCAACCTGTCCCATAAATGGTGAAGAACCCGCATTTGAGGCATGGCACCTGGCGCTCCTATGACTTCGTACAGACCATTTGAGTTGAGCAAAGAGGAATGGAAAATGAAACAAAACCATGGTTATCTGACAGGAACATTATGTTTGTTGGTTGACTGGGATTCCAACAATGGCTGGTTGGTGGTTTCAACCCCTCTGAAAAATATGCTCGTCAGTTGGGATTATATAGTATTCCCATCCCAATATATGGAAAAATAAAAAATGTTCCAAACCACCAACCAGATGGGTTAGGATAATGCCAAACATATTGGACAGTAGAACCCCCTTTTTTGGCACCAATCAACCTGGGTTGGTGTCACTGGGAAGCTGTGGGATGGAAGAACCCAAGGGCCTAGGGCACAGCCATACACAAGGGCCGCATGTTGAGCGGATTGGATCGGCCTGTTCGGACATTTCCACATGGGTTTGTTTGTCCAGAAATCGGACGTACTTCAGCAATCTTAACATTTATTTTGTGTGTTCTTAAGCCATTCGGTTTTGGGATTTCTATTTTCAGAAATTCTCGAAATCGTCCATCAAGATTTGTCTGAAAAAGGCTACCGCAGAATCTGCTTTCACATTGTTGGTTTTGATCCTTTTTCTATCCCATTGAAACTGCCATTCTGCCAGCCCTATCTTCGGACGACCTCAAACTGGATATAGTTGGTTCTTGTATCATTAATTCTCGGCATTCCAATCCCTACCCCTATACCGTGAACCTCCCATGAAACATTTTGAGCACCGATCAACGAGCAACCTGTAGGGTTGCACAGGTAGGAGCCAATCTGCACCTGTTTCCTGACACAGTCTGAAGATCACATCCCAAAATCAGCTACTGTATGGAAATCAAAAAACGCACAGAAATCGAACAAAAAAATATATGTTTCTGCTTGCCTCCAGATTATTTTCTAATTTCGATGTGGTACTTGTTCTAAATCAACCCGTGTAGTGTAGTGAAAGTGGGGCGGCCCACACAGTTCGGGTGATCCTTTTCGGTTGTTTCGGTTCCACGAACCTGGGCCTTCAACCCATTGAAGCTCACAACCAGCATAGGAATATCCGGCCAGAGTCCATATTTTGTAGCAAAATCTCTCCAGAGTGGACGAGTTATTTTCTCATGTCGGAGCTGCAGAGCAATTCTGGGCATGTCTTGCCCTCACCTCTTCTGTCTGCAGTTCCTATCGCGTTTTTTCACCATACCACCTGACATGAAGATGATTGGGTCCCCAAGGGTTTCTTCATTCGCTGCGCACTTAACCCCTCCCATGCCGCTACCCGATGTTGTCGGTGGTGAAATGGTCAAATTCGGAAATGGCGATGTCCATGAGCCTGCGCAGCCAGCTGCGAAAGAAACATGCAAAATCATGAATGAGGCCAAATTCACATAAAACTATTGAAATGGCTATGAATGAAGTCTCACCAACGAAAATGATCGAACATGATTGTTTTACCACCAAGTGAGGACTTTACACCATCAACAATTGAGATGTCATCGGTTTACCCCGGAACCAAACATGGCAATGGAGTATAGCATTACATCATGTTCGATGGGGAAATCATCTACACATGGATTTTTTGTGGGGGCATTCCATTGACTAGCGGGATCGCTGCAAGGTATCTGTAATGTGGCAGGCTCAAACAATCAGATTGATCGAAAAATACTGATTGCAATCTGGAGAGAATATAAATGTATAAAGGCACATTCATTATGTGTGTAGAAACGTATGTGGAAAAATGCCCAAACATGAATCCTGTGGCAATTCTGCAACGAAAACTGCCAAACCAACATGAATCCTATAACTTATATATTTATAAATAGTGGTACTCAGACCCTTTGCAAACCTTACGCCGCGCTTTCGCGGCCTGTCGCCACCGCAGCAAAACACACACATCCATATCTGCAGATGTCACTCGGATACTAAAAGCCTTGCATGGGTTTTAGGACGGCTCCCATCTGTAGCTCAAATTTTTAACTGCCCATGTTTTCTTGGACAGAGCACGACAAAGCCATCAAACTCTTGATGGATGGTGAACTGTAGCATTAACTGACACATTCGTTGGGCAATTGTTTTGGGCAAGTCTTTTTTTTGACCTTGGATCACTTTTTTTTGACCTTACCTCTTTTTTTTGACCTTGGATCCCTTTTTTTTGACCTTGGATCACTTTTTTCTGACCTTGACCTACTCTTTCTTAACCTTGGCATGTTCCTTTTTATTCTTGGCCTACTTCCCCATACTTGTTTGGAACCTTGCGCCATCTTGCACTTTTTCTCTGTGTGTGTGATTCTGGAGTGTCTAGAGTGCGGAGGTAGGCATGTGGAATGTCGAGTTTGCATCTGGCGTGCGGGGTGTGGCGACTGGTGGGTGGAGTGTGCATGGCGTGGACTGTAATGTTTGCAGTGTATGGTTTTCATTTGTAGTGTTCAGTATGCTGGATGTGAAATGCAACGTTGGGCGTTTCGTGCCCAATGTGAGGTGTGGAGTTTGCAGTGTGAAGTGTAGAGTTTGCAGTCTAATGGAGCGTGTAGAGTGCGGAGGTAGGCATGTGGAATGTCGAGTTTGCATCTGGCGTGCGGAGTGTGGCGACTGGTGGGTGGAGTGTGCATGGCGTGGACAGATAGGAAATTGATGGATGGAAAGATGGGTCAATACGCAATGGAAAGATAGATAGATCGATAGATAGCTATCGGCAAAGAGACATTGCGACATAGAGACATATAGACATAGAGACATAGTCATAGCTAGATAGATGGAGGCAAAGATAGAGATAGATAGATATAGATAGATAGATTGCTAGATAGATCAAAATAGATACACATAGATGCAGATTAACCTAGTTTGATATAGATAGAATTAGATGAATAAAGGTATATAGATAGAATGAGAAAGATAGATATGGCGAAATAGATAGTAAAGATAGGATACATAGCATAGATAGGATAGAAAGGAGAGACAGACAAATAGAGAGATAGAGAGATAGATGGATAGATAGATAGATAGATAGATAGATGGATAGATAGATAGATAGATAGAAAGATCGACAGATAGACAGATAGGCAGATAGACAGATAGATATGGTGAAATAGCTAGTAAAGATAGGATACATCGGATAGATAGGATAGATAGGCTAGATAGGATAGATAGGATAGATAGGATAGATAAGAATAGATAAGATCGATAGGATAGATGTGATAGATAGGATAGATAGGATTCAAAGGATAGATAGATAGATAGATAGATAGATACATAGATACATAGATACATAGATAGATAGATAGATAGGTAGACAGATCGATAGTCAGATAGTTAGATAGATAGATAGATAGATACATAGATACACAGGTCGATGGAAAGAAAGAAAGATTGATCTATAGACAGACAGAAAAAATGACAGATTGTGAAATAGATAGATAGATAGATAGATAGATAAATAGATAGATAGATAGATAGATAAGTTGATGGATGGAAAGATGGGTCGATACGCAATGGAAAGATAGATCGATCGATAGATATATATAGGCAAAGAGGCATTGCGACATAGAGACATATAGACATAGAGACATAGTCATAGCTAGATAGATGGAGGCAAAGATAGAGATAGATAGATATACATAGATAGATTGCTAGATAGATAAAAATAGACACACATAGATGCAGATTAACCTAGTTTGATATAGATAGAATTAGATGAATAAAGGTATATGTATATATACATAGAATTACATAGATAGAGTGAGACTGAAATAGTTTGATATAGATAGATAAAAATTGAAGTAGGTTGATATAAATAGATTCAAATTAGTGTAGTTTGATATAGATAGGTCTGGAAAAAATAAATACAAATGGATCTGTATAGATAAATCCGGACTGGTATAGTTTGTATACGGATAGGTAGAGAGATAAACAAATAGATAGATAGCTACCTAGCTAGCTAGATAGATATGGTAGAATAGAAAGTAAAGATAGATAGGAAAGATCGATAGCAAAGAAAGCTAGGAGAGTTAGATAGGAAAGATAGGATAGATAGGGTTGAAAGGATAAATAGGATAGATACGATAGATAGGATAAATAGGAGAGATAGGAGAGATAGGAAAGATAGGAGAGATAGGAAAGATAGGATAGATAGGATAGATAGGACAGATAGGATAGATAGATAGATCGACAGATGGATAGGTAGATAGAGAGATAGATAGATAGATAGATAAGATAAGATAAGATAAGATAAGATAAGATAAGATAAGATAGATAGATAGATAGGTAGATAGATAGATAGAGAGAGAGATATATAGATAGATAGATAGATAGATAGATAGATAGATAGATAGATAGATAGATAGATAGATAGATAGATAGGTATATAGATAGATAGATAGGATAGATAGGATAGATAGGATAGATAGGATAGATAGGATAGATAGGATCGACAGGATAGATAGATCGACAGGATAGATAGATAGATAGATAGATAGATCGATGGATAGGATAGGATAGGATAGGATAGGCTAGGCTAGGCTAGGATAGGATAGGATAGATAGATAGATAGACAGATAGATAGGTAGATAGACAGATGGATAGACAGATAGATAGATAGACAGATAGATATGGTGAAATAGCTAGTAAAGATAGGATACATCGGATAGATAGGATAGATAGGCTAGATAGGATAAATAGGAGAGGTAGGAGAAATAGGAAAGATAGGAAAGATAGGAAAGATAGGATAGATAGATAGATAGATAGATAGGTAGATAGATAGATAGAGAGAGATAGATAGATAGATAGATAGATAGATAAGTTGATGGATGGAAAGATGGGTCGATACGCAATGGAAAGATAGATCGATCGATAGATATATATAGGCAAAGAGGCATTGCGACATAGAGACATATAGACATAGTCATAGCTAGATAGATGGAGGCAAAGATAGAGATAGATATACATAGATAGATTGCTAGATAGATAAAAATAGACACACATAGATGCAGATTAACCTAGTTTGATATAGATAGAATTAGATGAATAAAGGTATATGTATATATACATAGAATTACATAGATAGAGTGAGACTGAAATAGTTTGATATAGATAGATAAAAATTGAAGTAGGTTGATATAAATAGATTCAAATTAGTGTAGTTTGATATAGATAGGTCTGGAAAAAATAAATACAAATGGATCTGTATAGATAAATCCGGACTGGTATAGTTTGTATACGGATAGGTAGAGAGATAAACAAATAGATAGATAGCTACCTAGCTAGCTAGATAGATAGATATGGTAGAATAGAAAGTAAAGATAGATAGGAAAGATCGATAGCAAAGAAAGCTAGGAGAGTTAGATAGGAAAGATAGGATAGATAGGGTTGAAAGGATAGATAGGATAGATACGATAGATAGGATAAATAGGAGAGATAGGAGAGATAGGAAAGATAGGATAGATAGGATAGATAGGGCAGATAGGATAGATAGATAGATCGACAGATGGATAGGTAGATAGAGAGATAGATAGATAGATAGATAGGTATATAGATAGATAGATAGGATAGATAGGATAGATAGGATAGATAGGATAGATAGGATAGATAGGATAGATAGGATATAGGATAGATAGGATAGATAGGATAGATAGGATAGATAGGATAGATAGGATAGATAGGATAGATAGGATAGATAGGATAGATAGGATAGATAGGATAGATAGGATAGATAGGATAGATAGGATAGATAGGATAGATAGATAGATAGATCGATGGATAGGATAGGATAGGATAGGATAGGATAGGATAGGATAGGATGGGATAGATAGATAGACAGATAGATAGGTAGACAGATAGATATGGTGAAATAGCTTGTAAAGATAGGATACATCGGATAGATAGGATAGATAGGAGAGGTAGGAGAAATAGGAAAGATAGGAAAGATAGGAAATATAGGATAGATAGATAGATAGATAGATAGATAGGTAGATAGATAGATAGATAGAGAGAGAGAGAGATATATATATATAGATAGATAGATAGATAGATAGATAGATAGATAGATAGATAATTAGATAGATAATTAGATAGATAATTAGATAGATAATTAGATAGATAATTAGATAGATAGATAGATAGATAGATAAATAGATAGATAGATAATTAGATAGGTAGATAGATAGATAGATAGATAAATAGGTAGATAGAGAGATAGATACATAGATAGGTAGATAGGTAGATAGGTAGATAGGTAGATAGGTAGATAGGTAGCCGGGATGAGATGCGATAGGACAGAATGGGACAGGACTGAATAGGATGGATAGGATAGAATTGCATTTGAAAGGATGTGATAAGATAGGATAGGCTAGGAGAGGAAAGGTCGAGGAAATGGTCTCGGAAGTTGGATGTAAACATTGGATAGATATAGGTCAGGGTTGGATAGGTGAGAATAATTGGACAGATAAGACAAACACGACAGATCGGACAAACAGGAAACCTAGGATAGATAGAGCAGATAGGACAAATAGGCACAGAATCTCCCAAATCTCCCGGAACCGTCTAGAACCTTCCACAATCTCCAAGCCAGCCGCACTTTAACCTTGCTCTGGGCTCAATCCCTGGAGCTGGGACTGCTGGGCAAAATTGCAAACTAGGTTTGAAAAAAGAGGTGCAAGGCTAGAAAAAAGAGGTGCAAGGTTAGAAAAAAGAGGTGGCAAGGTCAGAAAAAAGAGGTGCAAGGTTTGAAAAAAGAGCTGCAAGGTTAGAAAAAAGAGGTGGCAAGGTCAGAAAAAAGAAGTGGCAAGGTCAGAAAAGAGAGGTAGCGAGGCAAGGTTAGAAAAAAGAGTTTTCCAAGGTTAAAAAAAAAAGGTAAGGTTAAAAAAAAGAGACGCAAGGTTAAAAAAAAGAGGGGCCCAATTGTTTTTTCCATACTGTATTTGAAAAAAATTGACATGTTTGGTGGCTGCCCCGACGACCACTGGCCCCAAGCCTAGTTGAGAAGGAACTTAAGAAGTAGTCCTGGACCCACTTGCCGGCCACATCAATGAAAGCTGAAAGGGCCAAAAACGAACAAAACGAAACATTGACTATTCGTTTATATTCGTTTGAGACTTGAATTTGTTCCCAAAAATGGATCTTAGCGAATCGGCTGAATTCCGCAACAAATGTTCGGAGTTTTTGGGTGGTTTTTAGGCATCACATTGTTTTTCGGCGGATGTGCCATAAGACCAACGTCTCCTGCAAATCCTGCATCACCAGCCGCGTCGTATACACGATGCGGAGGGAGAAGAACCAACAGAGACCCGCGGCGATGACGAAGACGGCCACCAACAACATGAAGCATCGGCCAAAGGTGAGATTTCGATCAATAACTGTGACCCTTAGAATTCGCAGAGATGGGCGCGGAAACTGGGGTCTGACGGCAAGTACTTCCAAACGGGATCTCGTGAATCCCACGACATTCCTGGGCAGATCCCTTCTGACAGGGAACCATGGTCACTGTTATCAACCCTGCCAAACCCTGGTTCGTCATGGTAAGCCGGCGCATCAACAGTAAACAGTGCATCAGCTTGGTGCAAATTCCAGTGAATGACATCACTAGACAATGGTGTATGTCCGAAATGGAAAACTCCCCCGAAATCACAAATCTCGAAAATGCGCTGCGATAATGATTTGGATCCACTCCCACAAATCAAATGGACCGGGCCCCGGACACTCAGACAGACATGTTTTACTTATTTGTTTTTTATATACATGTATCCATTACTTTATGCATGCACACGTACACGTATACGTATACGTATATGCATATGCATATGCATATGCATATGTATATGTACATGTATATGTATATGTATGTGTATGTGTATATGGATATGCGTACGCATATGTATATGTATATGTATATGTATATGTATGTGTATATGTATATGTATATGTATATGGATATGGATATGCGTATGCATATGTATATGTATATGTATATGCATATGCATATGCATATGTTAATGCATATGTATATGCACATGTATATGTACATGTACATGCTCATGTATATGCAGACGGACCTTTTACCGGCCCACAAATTGGGGTGGGGTGGGGTGGGGTGGGGTGGGGTAAGGTGTGATAGCATTCGTCACTACTGCAAGACATGATGTGATGCTACGCTACGCATTCGTCACTACTGCAAGACATGATGTGATGCTACGCTACGACATGGGTGGGGTGGGGTAGGGTGGGGTGGGGCGGGGCTGGGGTGTGATAGCATTCCTCACTACTGCAAACATGATGTGATGCACGCTACGCATTCGTCACTACTGGCAAGACATGATTGGGAGGCTACGCTATGCATGGGTGGGGTGGGGTGGGTGCAGTGGGGTGGGGTGGGGTGTGATAGCATTCGTCACCACTGGCAAGACATGATGGGAGGCTACGCTACGCATTCGTCTCTACTGCAAGACATGATGTGATGCTACGCTACGCATTCGTCTCTACTGCAAGACATGATGGGAGGCTACGCTACGCTACTGGAAATTGATGAAAAAGTCAATTCCAGACAGCATTCGTTCCCAAGTCCAAGGCAAACGCAATGGTTTGTTGTTCAAATACATTCGAAGTCACCAATGGAGATGGGAACACACTGGCTTCGACTTGCTGACCGCCACTGGCGAAGCTGTAAGATCTCTCATGCGGTGAAGAGAAAAGGCCACTTTGATCGTTCGCCGGGTTTTGAAGCACAAAACCCTGTAAGGGTTGCAAACCACACCAAAACGGATGTTTTTTTTTCATGGTTGTTTCCCACATGAAATCGAGCCGGCGCCACAGCGAAACAATAATTTTTAAGCAATCATGGGTTGGTGCCAGGTCCGCCGGGATGTATATGTATATGTATATGTATATGTATATGTCTGTGTATGTCTATGTCTATGTCTATGTTTATGTCCATGTCTGTGTTTATGTCTATGTCTGTGTTTATGTCTATGTATGTATATATATATATGTGTGTGTGTGTATGTACATATATATATATATATGTGTGTGTGTATGTACATATATATATATATATGTGTGTGTGTGTGTCTGCGCGTTTATATTTGAAAATGTTTACCTATACTTATATAAGTATACACACACATATGTGTGTGTTTGGTTCCGGTCATGTTCCGGTCCAAAATTTCGAACGGATTGAAGCTGCGTGAAAAAAACAAGTTTCATAATTTTGAATCCTCTGAATCTCCTCCCTTGCCCGACAAGGAACCACTTTCGAAAGGTGCTGGAATATCGATACAACATCATCACCAGCAGTGGCGTTCCGAATGTTAAGCACAGGAGTGTTGCATACACTCGTACTTCTAACCTCGCATGATGGAAAATGATATGAAACCAATGGTTTGCCAGATAAAAACGGGATAGCCAGCTTAGCTTGTCCTTCCAACAAACAAACGTATTTTCGGTGAAAACTGATGTGCATACAACGCACTGTTTGTCATAAAATTTGTTTTTTAAATTGATGCTACAACAAATTCCGCATCTTAGCACAGTTTCTGAAGTGACACGGGCACCAAAAATTAATTGCAAACAACTGCAGACATATTGCGTTCTCTTTCGGGCAAACGTTTGTCTCTTACAGGGAGGCCCGATGCAGCAAGGTGAAAACTACATATAAAACACCGCGCAAATTTCTTCTCATTTCAATTTTCAAATTTAGCCACATGAATGAAAACATATGAAAACGCATGAATGGCGACCTTACCCGCGCGGGCGACACGGAGTATGCCGAAATGAAGGTGAAGACCATGTGTTGGTGTTATTTTTCTTCAAATCCTCAACGAGATGGGTCCAAACAACATCATGAAGAAAATGTCGGCCTAAGCAAGGATGCTGAAGTTAAATGGGCACACCATCAATGTACCAAAACCCTGATATTATTTGTTAAATCCTGGGCATAGATATTCTCAACAGCGCATTGGCATGCATTGGCCAAGTTACATCAAACGAGGACAACAAGGGACCACCCACACCTTTGTGAGTTTCCAAATCACCACTTCAACAAATTTCCATGTTTGAGGGCCAAGAGCTGGTCGCAGGACACAAACATTACTATTTTTAATAATATAACGTTTTGGAAATATTTGCGGCAGCTCCGCTAATAAAATCATGTCATGTAACAAGTATTGTGATTGCAACAACATGTGGTGTCACTTGTGCATGCAACATCGTGCGATTACAACATCAACCAGCAGAACATGTGTCATGTTTCTGTATCTAACATCAGGTCAGCTAACGTCCGTGGCGTAACTGTAAATTCACACATGGGGCGTGCATTTCTTCAGCGTGAACCATACCTGCTATACCTCGATGCTGCCAAACCACCATGCTTGAAACTCTTCGGCCATGAGCCAGCCATCTCTCTTGACATTCGCTCGAAATTGGGCCCGTTCCTCCGCCAACGCTATGTCTGCGCTGGTGACAAACCACGGTGTGGATGTGGTTGCCGTTGAAATTCCCAATTTATCCTCGGTTCTGCATATGTTTTTTTTTCATCATCCACTTTCTAAGCTAATTATTTTTTCCACATCACCTGCTGGTAGTTCAATAGCTGCCCCTCGAGATCACCTACGCAACACATGATGCGTACATTATTGAAGTTCACGACAAACAAAGCATGACGTGTTTACCCGATAGTGTCAGCACGCTGCGGCACAGAACAAAATAGTTGCCAACAAAATTTATTGCATTTAATCCGCGGGGAACTTACAATAAAAGTGGCCGCCAGTCAATGTCCGAAGTGCAACCCTTGCTCCGTCAAACAAGGCCGAGCAACGATACACCACAAATCCAAGTCCGTCAGCTGGTACACCGTAGCGTTTTCCGCAGAGCCATGCGCGAGCAAACCCAGCAAAAGGTAGCCGAGCATAGCTCACCAAACCAGCGAAGAAAAATTGGAATAAGTATGTTGTGTTATCACTGCGAATTATTGGCGTAGTTTAATGCATTTTTTTTTGCCGCAACTAGTTCGCCGCCGTTTGGCCCTGGCATTTCCGAGGCAAATCAAAAAGCTGCGGACACGGCAAGCATCCTGGCAATCATTTTGTGGCACATTCATTTGGAGCAGGGGGCAAACACACCTGGCATGATGCAAAAATTGTTTCAACCAGTTGCTGTTGCTGCTTAACGCCGGAGGAAACTGTTGCACCATGTTATCAACTGGCAAAACTTAATGCAATAACCTGGCAAACCGTTTTTTCTGTGACGGCACATGTAATGTGAGATCGACTGATTAACCTCACCCAACCAAATTGCAACTCCAATGATGAAATGAATAATTTTGACACAAAAAATGCGTGACCTTCATTTCGATTCCATTTCCTCTGCTTTACAAGTGCGCTAAAAAATTTGAGGCGAAGGACCCGTCAACATCTGACATGCTATCCAGCATACTTTCCAAAAAAAATCCTTGCTATGCATCCTGGTAAATATTCCGGCATTCACGTTAGTATTCTATCTGATTCAAATTTTGGCATTCTATCTGGCATACTGTCTGCCATTTTACCTCGCATTTTATCTGACTTTCTACCTGGCATTTTGTCTGGCATTCCACCCGGCAATCTGCCTGGCATTGCATCTACTAATCCATGTTATATTTAATTCATCCAAAAATATAGCACTGTATACTTTAATGTTCTGTCCGGCACGCTCCTTGCAATCTGTCTGATATATGTTTTGGCAATATATTTAACAATTTCCACTTAATCCCCACCTCGTTCTATCAAACGTACCCTAAATAATTATATACTAAAATCTAATGTTTAAATTTTGTGAAATTTCAATCCTGCCAATCTCATTTTTAATTGAGCCCCTTTCGAAACCAAATGAAAAACTAAAGTTCTATTTCAGGTTTTCACCCCCTAATAATAAAAATTAGTCAGCCCCGTTGTGTTTTTCATGAGGGTCCGTCTTTTAAGGTCAAATGTTTTTAAATAAATATGTTTTTGACTTAATATTAAGGGATATTAAGGGTAAATTTTAAAATCCAATTTTTGGCAATATTGCTCACTAGGTTTTAAAGATAAATCTAACTGATTTTGACACATAAGAACATATTTTTATATTCAATGTTAAATTGATTTAATATTAAACTAAAAACAGTTCCAAGTGCTTATTATTTGGGGGGGCGGTTTAGTAATAGGGGGAAAGGATTAAAGGCGAAAGCCCGCGCGCAGGGAACGCTGGAGCTGAATGTAGTTGGGTGCCACGACCCCCGTCCAGGCACGGGCCTTGCAATGTGTTAATCCCCCATGTAAAGGCCACATTCACGAAGACTTCCGCCTTACTTTGGTGAAATAAATTCTTTACATGTCACGCGTGTTGTGCCGTCTGCAAGACCCTAGCGAGGTGAACGTGTAGGGATGCATCAGGTCCGTGAACCTCTTCCACCGGATTAGCTCAGCGACACAGGACGGCACCCTAGGGTTCAAATCGGCGACGACAGGGGGAACAACGCGGCGTAACACCTTCATGTACATTGTTTCCCCCCTTTCCTCACACCAATGTTTCAGCGGCACTCACAACAGCAACCCAAGTTCCGCACAAAGGAAAATCAAGAAAATTACCGCCACGTTTTTGTTTTTTATTTTTATTTTTATGTGTTGTTTTTTATTTTTAAGTGTTGTTTTTACCGGTTTGTTTTGTGCGGTGTTTTTATTGTTCGTTTGTTTTTTTAATTTATGTTTTGTTTCCTTTGATTTTCCATTTATTTCCGTATTATTTGTTTATTGTTTTTTCATTTTGTTGATTTGTTTTTTTTATGTTTTTGTTTTGTTTTTACTATTTTTTTAATTGGCGTTATGATTTTATGCGATTTTTTTAAATCGTTGTTTCTTTGTTGTTTCCAAAGCACGGTGCAACAGCCTAGGAAGGTCAGAAGACACAGTGGTAAAATGCCAAAGGGATTTCAAAAGGAATAAAAAAATAGGAAACAGACCGAGGTGGTTTCGGCAAGTGGGGAGAAGGGTAGGAGGGCAGGATGGTAGGATAGCAAATGCAAAATACATTGCATATATGGGTTTTGATCAAAATTCCTTTATCCGGGAACGGCCATTCCTCGCGAATAAAATGTTTTTCGCGAAACTTTCGCGAACTCCATGTTTATCCTTTGCGGGGCCCATGTTGGCCAACAACACCTCTTATAAAAATTCGTTCACCACCTGGCAAATTACGCCCGAGAATCACGGATCACTTCTTGATAGCCTTTTTTTAAAACATGCAGCTAGTTTCACGGAATCCCTTCTCAAGGCAGGTTGTTGTTGACTAGGTTTTTTTGGCAAGGTTTACTGACCCACCCCTTTCAACATGCACTTGGACTTTCGCCCGCTCTTTCGCATAATTTTCGAAGAATGTTTCGCGAAAATATCCCTATTCAGAGACCCCGGCCATCAGCAGGGGGTGCATTGAAGGAAAAGCGAACACCAGGGGCCTTGGTGTTTGGCTCTCGGAAAGCCTCACTTTTGGAAACTTGGCTTCTGCATTTGGAGTTTGTTTCTTGGGATTTCAAACATTTCAATAGGCAGTGACAGCGGCAGGTGCAAGGATGTGCTTCAGGACCATGGCGTTTGGCTTGTCGCGAAGCCTCGCCTTTGGAAGCTCGGCTGCTACCTATGATGGGTGTGATTGTCCACAAGCAGCAACACACAGGGAACTGAACCAGAACCAAACCGAAATTCTCTAGTGCCCTTCTCCTGCCGGACCCCGGGCGGCAGTGGGTGGCAGCCTTTTACATAATGATTATAATATCCAATTTTCGCGAAACGTTCGCGAAAAAAAATGTTACTTTCGCGAATTCGGAAAAAACTTTCGCGAGGGTTTCCAACATAACATGCACGGTTTGCGCAATTAAAATCCTTACAAGGACCTTTATATTGATCACCATAAATAATATATATATATACACATATATATTTCAAAAAAAAATTGGACCTCACTAACAATTAACCTTCGTAGGTAAAAACGGGTAGGGTAGGAGGGCAGGAGGGTAGGAGGGCAGGAGGGTAGGAGGGTAGGAGTCGAGGGTAGGAGGGTAAGAGGGTAGGAGGGGAAGGACATAGGAGGGCAGGACACAGGAGGCTAGGACATAGGAAGCTAGGAAATGGGAGGACAGGAAGGTAGGAGGATAGGAGGATAGGAGGGTAGGAGGGTAGGAGGGTAGGAGGGCAGAGTGTACAAAGAAGCAGCAAGTGACCGAGGGTATGAGGGTAGGAGGGTAGGAGGGTAGGAGCCCAAGAGGGTCAGACGGTAGGAAGGCAAACTCAAGAAAAGAATCTGGCACAGCGTCCGCAGAAAAACTTCCAAAATTGTTCGTGCGTCAAAGACAAAATAATAGCAAAAACACTTGTCTAGGAGTAAAAATTGGAAAAAAAATGTTACAAACAAACATTTTGTGAGTTGCTGGTATTTTTTCCGTCTGGACGCGCTGTTTGAACTCTGCCAGCGCAGTGCGCCGTATGTTGATGGATTTGCAGCGGTACGCTCTGTGGTACTTTCATGTTCCTAGCCAGGCCGCAGCAGCTCTTGTGGCAAACATTGTGGTGGTAGCACCACATCTGCCCCTTGTGGCTCAGGTGGTGCGTCTTCTCTGTCTCTACCTGGTGGCTCATGTTTGGTGGCAGCCTTGCGGCGGTTTTCCTGGGCGGTGGCGCCATGGACGACGACTTTGGAAGTGCCACAGGCGATCGCGATCTCGCGAGATGCCCTCCGGTTTCGCTCGATGACAGCAGCACGGTAGCAACAAATTGGCACGCTTGCGGATGGAACCAATGGCATTACCAGTGGTTTGTGTTATGCCAAACGTTCCGGGTAATAAATCAATTTTTTGTTATTATTTTTTGTGCCGATAATTTTGCAGGAATGGAATGGCGGGTCTAGGTTCATATCTATGGCTGAAGAAAAAATCCACAAAATGAGTTCGGGGATATCATTTCAAAACCTTTGTGTACAATTCAATCGTTTCCGACTAAAAAAATCAAATTGTTTGCACGTTTTGGTTCAGAGGGTTGTACAGGAATGGCGGGTCATATCTATAGCCCTGGCGAAATCGAATTCACAGAATGAATTGGGAGAGATATCATTTCAAAACCGTTTCCGGGTAATAATTCAAAATGGTTTCATCTTTTTTGATCATTTTTGTGGAAATACATCATTTTTTCAAAACCGTGTGTAAAATTCAACCGTTTCCGAATAATAATCCAACTTTGTTGCTTCATTTCTGTCCAGACGATTTCGCAGGAATAACGGGTCTAAGGTCATGTCTATGGGCCTTGCGAAGACAAATTCACAGAATGAGTTGGGAAATGCCATTGATCATTGCAGTTCCTTGTATACCAATCGTTTCCGAACAATAAATGATATTGTTTTGCACATTTTGGTCCAGGAGGGTTGTGCAGAAATGGCGGGCCTAAGTTCATATGTATGGACCTGGCGAAGATAAATCCACAGAATGAGTTGGGAGATATCATTTAAGGACCTCTTGTTGCATTGGCGAATGGCACCTGGCATCCCTTTTTTTTGATCCGCGTTGATGCACTTTGCATGTTTTAGTTCAGGAGGTTGCGCAGCCAAAGCGATAATTTCATATCCATGGTCCATGGCCCATGTGAACATAAAACGTCGGTGTGAACTGGGGTAAATGGTTCACGTTCAAGATCTTAAGGTTGCATGGAAACCACTGAGCCTTGTGCTCCAACAGAACTATGCAAAAAAAAACAAGGAGAAAACTTGAAAGCAATTCAGGTTCTAATGTCAAGCAGAACTTTCAATTTAATACCGAATCCCTCCCAAAGATATCAATGATAGTTTCCGCATAAGAAATTTAATGTCCAGGAAACCCGGGCCAGGTTTGCAACAGAAACCACCGTAGCATAC